GGATTTTCTTATTATCAGCCTTGAGTATTAAAGTTTTATCTAAAATTTTTGGACAGTGTTCTAGGGCTTGGTCAGATGTTTCTGATTATGAGTATTTCTTTGTTCTGTTTTATGTTCACAACCTGGATTACGGTCTAAGGTCGTGACATTTTGTGCACATCAGGGGGTTGAATGTACTGTAAGAATATCAAGGAACCTTAATTTCATTGATATCTGGGCGCTTCACATCAAGGGAGGAACTAGAACTTTAGGTAAGGAGGTCAAGACTGAAATTTTGTAATAACTTTAGGGGGACATTAGCAATATTTTAGAGATATATATTGAAAAAAGAAAAAGAAAAAATAACATGATATATTAGTAAAAAATTAAAAATTCAAGAATTGGCCCCCTCACTTAGTAATAGGTCCGTCCTTGTTACACATTCAAATCTTTAAAGCAGTGAATATCGGGTTAGCGGATCCTCCCATTCAGACTATTTCATTTATTTATTTTTTGATTAGAAGTTTAGTAGTAGGTGGAAAGGGAATCGAACTAAAGGCCATAGGTGGGGGCAACTAAGGTGCCTGCCCTTTTCATTCGGGCAGCACCGCCAGAGTTGTTAGTACAATTTCATTTGTTTTTAAAAGATATGATTTATGTTATTTAGAATTGATGGAATTCAAAATCAAATTAGATTCAGAGGAATTTCAACTATCAAAACAGCATTTTGATTTTTTTTTATTTTTTGATTTTTTTTTTTTTTTTAGAAAAATGATCGGATAAGCTAGTTTGGGAACCATACCTGCCCTTCTTCACTTCATGAAATTTTGGCTGGAGGCTTCGTGATCGGACTGCCTTAGCCCCCTTTTGATCACCCGATCAATAGAATAGGGGAACTTGGGGGCTTTTTTGATAAAATGAGATGAATTTCTTCATGGACCCATCCACTTTAATGTTTGATGATTTTATGGGATTTGAAAATTACAAAATTACCCAACAAAGCTCAATGGCTTAAATTTAAATTTATTGCAAACGCAAAAAATGTATATTAATTATGATCCTTTGGGTTTCCTTTACCTTTTCCTTTTTAGATAATTTCAATTATTTGTTCCAAAGGCTGGAGGAATCCTTGTCAAAAAATGAGGTGAAATGAATTAGTTGAGCAAGGACACCCTATAATGGACTCAAGCTTGATTTTGAGATCGACGAGTAATGACTTCAAACACTAATAAATGAACTCTCAAGCTTGAGTTCTAACGGAATAAAACTCAACTGAACTCGTTTATTAAATAAAAATTTCAGGGGGGCAAATTCATACTATATTCAGTATACGTAATGTGAAAATGTATTTGTTTTTTTATATCTAGATTATTGTTAGAGGTTTTTGTATTTCTATATTTGTATTATTGTTAGAGGTTTTTGTTCCATATCTGATTTAGAGGAAGGCTTTTTTGGCCAATAAGGACTACCCAACAACTTAAAACTTTTGGATCAGATGGGAAGCATCCGCTTGAACTTTTGAGTTAGAAAAAAAAAAAAAAAAAAAAAATTAATCCATTACAAGTGGCATCAGAGCAAACATACGCTTTGATCCAAGCTTATGCCAAGCACCCTGGTGCTGTGAAAACTACAATGGTTTGTTATGTGGGAAGGATTGTCCACCGTTTGGTTCATTAGATTTTGTAGTTTACTCATAGAAGCTATGGCAAGTTATTTTTTGACCAATAATGGGAAGTTTTTGTAAAATGTTATTCCATCTCATGTTAACCGTCCATATTTGCACGTTAATTGTCCCATAATAGTTGTTTCATTTAAAAAAATTAATGTACTATTTTTTATAACATTCACCATTTACCCTAAAAGATAAAACAAATTAAAATCATAAAATAGGTAGACCCCATCAAAAAATAACTTTTAAAGTATATTTATAAAAATACATCCTCTGTCATTGTAATAAAATATAGGGTAAAGTGCAAAAAAAACCCCCTGATCTTTACTCTCTCTCCCAAGAAACCCCCCTGAACTTCTGTTTTTTAAGTAAATCCCCTGAACTATCGCAATTTTTGCAAAAATCCCCCAATCGTTAATGTTCTGTTAGTTTGTCCACCTGAAATTGGTATGTGACATAAGCAAAAATTGAAAATAACAAAGATACCCTTAGTACAATAAGGTTAATAAATGAATTTTTTAACCCCATATCAATGGACAGTGATGATGCACTGCCTCTCGCCGAACACCACCTCCTCCTCCTCAGCCAATCTCACCAACCATTTGTCCATTCTCCGGCGACACACTCCGCTGCTTCCGCCGAAATAAGGGTATCTTTTCAAGAACGAAAAAAATCAACTCCATTCTCTGTAATTGATTCGTTCTCAATTGTTGTGATCTGCAATCGATTTACACACACACACACATATATATATGAACGTATATAAGACGTTCAAATTTGTGAGAAAATCAATTATTTAACTACTGGACTCTGACTCTCTCATTCATTTACCTCATCGTATTTTCCATCTTCCTTGTTCTTCCTCTATATCACCATTAATGGAGAAAGACACGCACCAAATCCAATCAACCCCCAGTTGTTCTTTGCCGAAACTCAAGACCCAAGTCCTCTTCTGCAATCTTTGGTTTATCTCACGATTGTAGCATCCGTCAATGGAAAGAAACGTTGTCAATCAACCCCAACATCATCGTCAATGGAGAGACCCACCACGCACCAAATTCGATCAACCCCGATATACAACCTGTTTAAATTGGAACCCATTTTGATATTTTGATAGTGTCACCTTACAATTTCCTCTCAGTTTCTTCAATTGCTTGTCAGTGCCAGAGTTGTAGGTTGCGCTCTAATCTCAAACACTCCACCGCCGATTCTTTCTCTCCACCCTCCAAGAGTTGTCATCTTGCAATGAGTGATTTAGAATTTGCAGTGGGTGAGTTAGAGTGATTTCTGGCACAAGTGTTGGTGGTGTTTGGCCCTGAAACGGGATAATAGAAGCAAGATGGTGATAAGGTTTGATGCACTGTTTGATTTTCATTCATTGGGTATTAGGACTGTGGACGACACGTCAGCAACTGAAGGTAAAGAAACAATAAAATGGTCTCCTTCTGTTAAGGATAAATTGGTAATTTACTGTGTACTTAACGGAAACTTCACATTTTGTCCTTAAATGCACTTTTTTTTCATAGTTCAGGAGCAATTGTTAATACAGGGGGGTTTTGTGCAATCAGCTGATAGATCACGGTTTTTTTTTGCACTTTACCCTAAAATATAATAAAAGCAAGTGTGTGAATTTTATACTCACATCTATAGACACAGGTGGTATTAAATTAAGACTACTTTTATGGACAGAGAGTAGTCTTGTTCAATATTTTTTCTGTAAGCACTCTAATCAGGATGAAAATCGGAGATTTTTATCGTTGACATTGTTGATAAATGAAAATATATTACATTAATGATACACAAATAACTCCAATCCCAAACCCGCAGATCATCAATTTCTATTCACAGAGAAATATTTTTTCACAAACATATCATGAACCATATAATGAGAAACGCAGCGAACCAAAAACAAATTATGAAATACAATATAAAAGCAAGCAAGCCACACACAAAGAACCACAAAAATTTAGAGTGGTTCAGCATGGGTTGTGTCTACGTCCACAGTGATGATCCGGCAAAAGTTTTCACTATACAATCCCAGCTATAATGCGTCCACTGCATCAAATAAGTTTAAGAAGTTAATACATGGTTACATATATAAAATATGAACAACTAAAATGTGGTACAAAAAGATTCAGAAAATCACATTAAAGTTCTTATTCAATTAATAAAAGATTTACAATTACCATCTCCTTCAGTATGCGAACTATGGACATGAAGAAATATATATGTATGTAATATGTGTGTGTGTGTGAAATAAAAACCAGGAGTACAAAAACAGTGAACTGTAGCACAAACAGTGAACACTATCCTTGAGTTGACTGATTTTGTATATATAGAGTTCGTTCCCAGTGTTGGCACTTCACCTTTTTATAGGGTCTTATGACAAACAAAAGAATTCGATCAATTTAGTTCTTGTTTGATAAATGTTTTTGCTTCAAACAATATCTGATGATCATAATCAAACTTATAGTAATCATTTAGTTCTAGCGTATGTGCCAACCATTCATACAGAAATCATAAAATAATAATACAAGGGAAGTTGATGGTGTCACGCTCAACTCTCTCATTCATCAAATTGCAACGGAACTAATTTCTTTTGAAGTGGACAGTATAACATCAAACAATCCAAAATTTTCTTGAGTCTCTACTAAATAAATACTTAAAATGCACTAAGTTGTACCTTCCGAACATGAAAACAGCATCATACCGTCCACGGCTTGCACCATGCGAACGCTGTTTTAATCTTTTCAGTGATGGAGGCACTTCGAATGCATGAGTTTCTGCAAGACCACACAAAAGCATCTCAAATGACAGTAGTATGGACTAAAAATGGCACTGTCGAAAACCTAACCACCCCAACTTAGAAATAATACATAAGTAACATTCTGACTCTACTCCAACCTCAACCACGTTTGAAGTGCTTTACAATAACGTTCGCCATGGTCAGAAGGGTACTGATTTGTTGAGCTTGTCAGTAGCAATTCCATGTGTGAGAACTGTTTCTGTATGCTTTCTTGGCGCCATGCACGCCACAGGAATAGGGATGAGCAAGCCACCCATGATCCTGTGTCTTTAGAACCCCAATAATTTTAACCCTACACCACAACAACCAGCTTAGCACTTCATAGGGGTGCATGCCATTCCATATTCCTATTTCTACATGAAAGCAAGGAAAAAAGATGGGATCTTTGCTTTCACAAAAGTGTGACTAGGCTTGAAATCTCAAGTAAAATAGATAAATTAGTGATGCATTCATTTACAATAAAAGAAAGCAGCACCCAGTAGGGATTTATCAAAGCACAAACATCTATACGTATGCATATAGACTTGTAAACTATTTTTACAACACCTATGTATACTGCAGGCATGGGAAACAACGATAACATAAAAACCAAGAACTGACAAGACTGGGTGAATTTTGTATTTGACAGGACATACCTCACCTCTACCAGTACAATAGGCTGCTTCATAGGAGAAGAAGAAAGGAACATCTGAACCAATCTCGCTTGACCATTCTTGGAGTTCCTTTTCAGTGGCTACACAACCACCGCATTGATTTGCCGTCCATAGAGCAGTTGCAGCATTACTGCTTCCACCACCAAGCCCAGCCCCTGTAGGTACCTTTTCATCAACAAAAATCATATTCGTCTGCTTCTACCAAAGGACTAGAGGAGCCTTCAAGATTTTGTTTTCCATGTGGGACTTTTATCTTTTTGATGACATTGTCCAGCTTTATTGGAAAACAAAATCCAGGAGGACTAGTACTTTCCTCTGCTAATTCGCTTCTATCAAAGGTGGGTAATCCTTGGGTGGTCTCAGGATTCTCATTTACAAGGTAGAACTGGTAAACCATGTCTTCTAGTACCTCGCGAGTGACATCTTCTATCATATCAGCTTTGTAATTTAGGTTTTAGTTATGATTGTTGATATTGAGGTCTACAAAGCAACTTTATTTATTGCAAATTGTCAAAACTGCTATGCTTGGTGCTGTTGGAAAGACCGTCCAGCATTTGCTGCTTCAGATTTTAATTTCTGCTCACATATCAATGCTTCAAACAACAAAAGCAAGGCACATGCAATTATTTGTTATCCTTCTCTTCCCATTCTGCTTACTCTGTCACAATCTTCTTCACATACTTTTACTTGTCAACTGTTATAGGTTTTGTCTGAATACAAACCATATTTTATAACAATTGCGTAAAATAAATTTGATTGCATAACAACAACAACCACCACAACAGCAATAATAAAGGTAGTTGCAAATAAACCATACGTATTATCATATTCTTGCAATTAACCCCTCACGTGACAAAAAACCGTCAAGTTTGCAAGTTACTAAGGATGCGAAGTTACAATTTACTCATCATTAAACTATACTATAAGTTATACATTATAGTATGCCCTTCCTACAACATTGTGCCGCATGTCCAGGATTTTTTTTAATATATATATGTATAAGAAAAAAAAAACAAATAAATAACAACTTGGTATGACTCCTAAGACCAACCCCATTTCATCATCTTATTTTTCCTCCTCTACATATAAAAGCCCTATAATACATACACAAACACACCCCTACACATATATATACATATTAATTAATTAGTGCATACATCAACTTTATTCTCCCTATTTTTTCTGTTCGAATCAAATAATGTAAATGAGTTTCAATTGAATAACATCTTGAATCATGTTAAATTATCGAGGACCTACCAGTTGTTGGGATCTAAAATTACTGAAGACGCATGTCTTATTTGCAAAGGTAAATTATGATTCTGCGATAATTAGTCTAAAATTTCTCTCCAGAAATCAATATAGAATCGCCTTTATTTATTTTTTATTTTTCAAATCAAAGGCTCTTGGCTTCATATCAGATATGTAGGTATCGATGTAGAGAGTTTGAGGCTAGTGTTGTGGTTGGCTTCTTGTTGTTCACATGTAAGGACAGACCCAATAATAATAATAATAATAATAAAAGAGATAGATAGGGAGAGATTTATGCGAAAAGATAAATGTGTTGGTAATCAGTATATACAAAAAAAAAATAAAAAAAATAAAATTCAGGAATACCAAGGATTGAAAGATTCTCAATGGCTATGAAATTGGGGATTGTACAACCAGCTCTCCACTATTCTTTTTCTGTCCTAATGAATTAGGAATTTCTAATTTTACAGCTGAGAGCAACAGAAGATAGAGTAGTCAATAATGAACACTGTCAACAAGTAAAAAAAGAGGAACCCATCTAAAAAAATTTGAAAAATACCAAGATCATCTAATATTTATGACATTAGAGAAACTGAAAATGAACACTACTCAACCCTATCCATTTTTTCAGATGTAGAAGTTAAAATAACCAAATACTAGATTTCCCCTTAGCTTAAGAATGGCAACAAATTTTGCTAGATGAAAGGTACTGTGATGAAAGGTTAAGACAATAAGTGCAAATATTCTTAATAATGGAAAGTGAAAGTAAAAGTAAAAGAATAAAACAGAAATTATCAATATCATGTATCTAAGGATAAAACATAAATTAAGACAATAAGTTCAAATATTGAGAAGTACATTCACATGGCCTGCATTCCTATTCTTTTTCTTCTTCTTCTTCTTCTTCTTTGCTTGCTTTATCTTTCTTAGTCAATGCTCCCTCCTTGACTCTATCCTCGTCTTCAGTAAGGTAGTTACCATTACATGCTTGGCCCATTAGGACTTCATTTTTTCCTCCCAAGTAAAATGAGGCTTTCCATGTAAGTATACAAATGAAACGAGGACCAATTCCCATAGATTCCAGTTTCGACCACTTTTTTGCTCACGGGATCATATGAAACCAGCCCTCGATCATACTTCTCCACTAAAACTTCACCCGTTGTTCTAAATCCTAAAACCCTGTTTATTCCTCCTAGATCAACAGTGAACAATTTGGTCCAAGAACTTACTACACCATACTCTTTCATCACCCATACACAACAACTACTACTTCTGCCCCTAAATTCATTATCATAATGGATGAGAGAGAGAGATTCCCCAAAAGGTGCAATGGACACATCCCGCGTACAGTCATTAGCAATGCTGCTCGGAAGCATCATCTCCTTGAAAACCTCACTACCCATATCAAATGACAAAATCAAATACCTATATAATTCCTCATCCCGCAGCTCATTTGTGATCCAATGTGAAGCCCCATTCACAAAGACATGTGGCCGACAACATACAATCATGTGATTAGGAGGAGGAGTAGAAGCAATGCTTCTCCACAGACCTGTGCTAAGCTCATAAACATCAACCTCTGACCGAACTGCAAACGACCAGAAGCGAAAATAAATAATTCTCACAACCTTATAGTCATTAGTCCGAGAATCGAACCCAAACCCTAGAACGCAATCATGCGAGTCAGGTGTAACACTAAGTGTCACGGACTTGTCAATTGCTGGGTACCACAGAATGATAATGTTTGTATAACAATCATCGTCGCACAAGCAAATTAACCCATTACATGAACCCAGTATTATGAAGGGAGAGATTGGGTAGTAATTAAAAGGGCAGTTAAGTGGGACAAATGTTTCGTCAACGCAGTGTACTGAGTACTTGAGTAGTGCTTATTCTTGCCATTGTTGTACCCAAGGAGTAGTAATGGAGTGGTGTTGTGCGCAATGGTTCGATTGGTGTGTGTGGTGATGAAAGTAGGATTGTTGATTAGAGCATACCATGATTTGCAAACGCACCTCATCTGCACAAGAGTCGTGATGGGTAGTCTTGTGAAGATATCCATCAGCACTTCTTCAGGCAGATGGTCCGAAATTGTTGAACCTCTCTCTCTCTCTCTCTCATCGTAGTAAAACCCTAGAATTTGAGAAACTTTTTTTTGGAAGATTAGAATTTGAGAAACTTATCACAGTCATAGGCTCTGCTCAAATCAAAAGTTTTTTCCCTTTTTTTATTATTATTTTTTATTTATTTATTTATTTTTAAGGATCTTACTTCCCTTTCCCAAACCCAAATTTAACATAAATTTTGTAAAAAAAATTGGTATTCATAATAACAAAAATGTTGCTAAATCTAAAATTTTCATAAGAAAAATATATATATATATATATATATATATATATATATTAGCTAATAAAAATATTTATTTATATATTAATTATTAAACGGACCGGGTTCAAAAGCCTTACAGGTTTTAAATTCTATTCTCAAATTAGTCCCTAACCGAATTAAATTGAGGTGTCTATCCCTCACCATGAGTTTTTCTATTTTAACCAATAAATTAAAAGATGTATTAAGGGTTCGTTTGGTTAGTTAGAAGTACCAGGAAAGGAAAAGAAAATGAAAAATTTCAAATTTTTTAGATATTTGGTTAGAGTGAAAAATAAATTTTTGAGAAACTAGGATTCCGCAAGTACTTATTTTCCCCAAAATATTTCTAGTATAAAACGCATGAAAATTTACTTCCCTGCAGTGGTTGCTCCTTTTTTATTTTAGTTTCCTACTTTGCCATGTCATTTGTTTCTATTCTTCTGTGTAAATTAGACATTATTTTATTAATAGTCCATGGCTATTTTATTTAAACGTGCACTTTGTGTTTGGGAACTCCATGGAGACTGTGTGTGTTTGGTGGCCAACTACATTTATTAAGTGGTTGTGTTTAATGGAACTTCTTTAGATTAATGTTTGCGAAGGGTTGGTATTTGGTTTTTTATGACTTGTGCCTCACTAAAATATTATAACTTTCACTTATTACTTACTTGGAAAAAGAAAAAAAACATAAATTTTTTGTTATTTTTAATAGTCCATTATTTTATTTTTTGTTTACTAAAAATTATAAACAATCAGGTAAGAAAGAGATTCATCTAATAAATTTATTTATTTTTTTAATATTTAAAATTATAAGGATAGTTTTGGTAAGTATAATTATTTTTTTTTTCTTTCATGCTATCCAAACAAGCAAAACTAGATTTTTTCATAATTTTCTCCAAAAATTTTCTTCCTAACCAAATACAAGTTGGAAAGTTTGTTTTCTTTTACTTCACTTTTTTTCACTTTTATTTTTTATCATTAACTTTTACCAAATCAAACAGACCCTACCCTAAATGATCAATTTAAAATTTCACACATCTCAACAAACTTTCTCAGACAAAAACAAGTTTTGAGATAATTTGAAGATTTTGTTAACAATAAATTAGATGTTATTTTATGAGTAATACTTAGGTCTTTACTAGTGATGATCTACACCACCTTCACTAGTGATGTGGACAAATAATAAATAGATATGTCATTTTTAATAACTAAATTTAATATGGTAGGTAAATAATAACTAAATTTAATATGGTAGGTAAATACCCACTTACCAAATCAAGAGATGATGATTTATTATTAATCCACATCATTAGTGAAAATGGTGTAGATCTTCATTAGTGAGGATCTAAGTATCGTTATTATTTTATTGAGTAATAGAAGTGTTTTGATTAGATTTTAGAAGAGGACAGATGAAATTCAAAATGGAAGAAAATTTAGAAGGATTTCAAATATCAAGATAGTATCATGAAATTTTATGAAAATATGTTGGATTTTATGGAATTTGGAAACTACTCAATTTATCCAACTCAATCCAATAGTTTGTTTATATTTACGATACCTTTCGTTTCCTTTCACATTTTCCTTTTTGAACAATTCACCCATGTAAAAGAATAAGGTAGAGAGAGTATCAAATCTGGAAACCCTAAGTTTGAATTTTGCAAATGTTCTATGGTAAAGATTAAGTTATTATGTGTAACTTCAATGTGTTCCATTTAGGTGAACATAAAAGAAATGTGAGAAAATCAGTTTAATTCAGACATAGATTTCCGCCACTTCTTTCTTCTTCTCCCTTTTCTTGTATTTGATCCAACTTTCATTAAATTTCAACACTTTGTATCATTGTAACAAGTTAGATATCCACAAATATCACACTATTAATTGTACATGAACAGGAACAAGCAGAAACACGTATCTACTGAAACAAATCTACCAAGGGTCAATACTAATATGTATCAAATGAACAATGTGCATGTGTGCGCGCAAAGGAGTGCAACTAAAGCGCGCATCAATTGATTTCCCTTCATTCTCCATTGTGGAGAGAAATTTCTCCACCAATCATAATACACCACGTGTCAGCAAATATAAAGCTCACTTTTTTATCAAAATAGCCTTGAAACCCAGCAGAAGCCAGAGGCCCAACAAGGAAGAAGGTCAATTCGGCCCAACTAGTAAGGGAAGATCCACACAGCAGAAGCAAACTAAGGAATGGCCCAAAATCGGCCTTTTCAAACTTCCATAACGCCCACCATAAAGAGAGGGCACAATATAAGGGGGAATAAACGTTCACGTCCAAAAAATCTATTAGTAACAACTCCATGTAAATCTCTGTACAAGCTTATAAGTAGAGCATGAATAAGAGAAGGAATCGAATTCCTATCATATTGTTCTCTCTTATCAAAATTGTCCATTGTCTCTGCCTCTTGTTCGGGTGTAAAAAATTGCACCTACACCCATGTTTTCTATGTTGAGGCAGACAAAGGACACAGCAACTCCCTCCCCTTTATCTTTTGATTTCTCCAGAGGAGAGCAACTAGAATGCATAGCAATTGCCTTCCCTATATCCTCTGCCTTCTCCAGAGGTGGACAAGCACAAGTAACAGCAATTTCTTTCTTTTTATCCTTTGTTCTCTCCAAAGTAGTGCAACCAAAAGCCACAGCAACCGCCTTTCCTTTATCCTTCGATCTTTCAAGATGGCAATTAGAAGAGACTGCAATCGCCTTTCCTTTATTCTTCGTTTTCTTTGCTGCCTGTCTTTCACTGTAAACTACAGGAGACTCAAACATCTCAGTGTTCTTATAACCTTCCAAAACCAAAAATAACATATGTAACATGTGTGTGTGGGTGTGTGTTAGTCCCAAAAACAGTGTACACAATAGGACTCAAAAAAGAATCATACATCACAAATCAATTGAAAATCACATAACCTTTAATCTCACAAATTTAACAATTCAAATTCATATACTACAATTTAACATAGCTTCATTAATTCCAAATTGAACCATGAACAACAAATAGATAAAGATAACAACCAACTAGAAACACTAGAACAGTGTGAACAAATCCGAGGGGATGATAACAAGTAACATTTTCAAAGATAATTACCAAAATGATAGCCATTGATGTTCAATAAACAGAACAAAACCACAAACCCTAGTGTTTCCAAATTCAAAATCAAGTCAATGGATCTATTTCTTAAAGTGTCCGAAACAATTGAAGCAAACCACAAAAGCACACACACATATATGTTTCTGTCGTTGTTGGATGAATGGGACGCTCGTGAAGGATTTGGAGGAACTGTTGTCTGGTCCATTGGTTGATGGATTGTAGGGTTTCGAATTTGGTTTGCTTTTCGGGTTTGGCTTCGTAATTGGATTTGATTTTGGGGGTTTGACAAAGAGGGAAGACGGTCGCGAAAGGTAGTGGTGGTGGTGGGATTGAGATTGGTTCGATCTGATAAGGGTTTTCTCTTCACTGCTCTGCTTCTGTCAGCTTCCATTGCTTTCCATTTCAGAGGACTCCGAGTCCAAGAGAGAGATAGAAAGTATAGAAATTGTAGAGAGAGAGAGCGGGAATGTGGAAGAAGCTAGGTCCTGGTTTGGCGGGAAATCGGTGAATTTGGAATCCGAGAAAAGACAGAGGATCTGGACAAGACTGTGGATTATTGACGAGGCCCAAAGCCCAACCCAAACTTGGCCCATGAAGAATCAACTCACATTGGCCTGACACTAGTTCAATACAAACCCGGGATATTGATTGAAGTTAGAGGTAGATCCTTATTATTTTGTTTCTTAAGTTTTATATTATTTTTTTAATTAATTTATAATATATTTTAAATTACATTCAATTTCGTTCTTTTAAAATAATTATTACAAAACCACCATGCTACGTTCTAAAAGTATTCATTCCGTGTCTAAGTCACGTGTTCTAATCGTGTTTAAGAAGAAAAAATAAAAAAATAAAAAATTTAAAACACTTCTCGTCATGTACAACACGTATCCAAGTCGTATTCATATGTATGACATTCTCACAACACCTGTAATTGAGGTGTTAATACTTTCTAACCCACTAATCATTTTGAAATCTCAAATGATTTATTTCAATGAAGCTCGAAGCAATTAACTATTATGTTACAAATGCATGTCCAATTTCATTCCACTTTTTTAGATGAAATTAACTGTGTGTGTGTATATATATATGTGTGTGTGTGAGAACTCTCGCAACCACCGATCCTCTCCGACTAGCCCGCCTCACATTATAAGCAGCAAGGTAAATCAAAAATAATAAAAGAGGTGGGAAGGCTTAAACCTGTACATTGATAGCTAAAATCACTTTACCATCTCATCTCTTTATCATTGTTTTCCAAAAGTTAATATTAAAAACATATTCAAAGGGTATCTTCACTCGTCACTTGAAAAAAAGTAGTAAGGCACTAATCTAAGGCATAGAAAAGAGTGTCCTGAATCCTAATTAGCATAAATAATTGTATTCATTGTTTAAACGTAAAGAAACCCAAATCTAATCCCAAAACCACATGCTATACATACATATGATATAATAATTAGAGATACTCTAAATGTCTGTGTAACTGTCAAGGATCAAAACCAACAGCTAGCACAAATAACGTGGACATGTCAATTGGTGCACTAAACTGGTCAAGTGAAGCCAGTGGTTTCATCACTTGCATTTTGGTGGGT